TTTATTTTAGATATATGTAAAAATCATAAATTTAAAATATCTTGGCTATTATGTATTTTTGGAATTTGTGTCATAAAGTTCAAAAATGAATTTCTAACATAAGAAACATACAAATACAATATAACCATGATGTCATTAGGCTAAAACAAAAGGGTGAAAAACTTACCAGTAAAAGAAGGGTTGACCAGCATAACTATCACACCACTTTTCATAGTAAAAATGAAGATTGTGCCCATAGCGATGTCTTGGATCAATCTATACAGAAAATTAAAAACTTCAATTATTTTGTAGTCATTGAGGCCCAAAGAAAACAATTTCAGTATATAGTGCGAATTGAGTATAATTGATTCTCGATATATATAGCCAGCTTTAAATCCAAGACTGGAACTGTAAGAAGCCACTATGTAACTGCGTAACGAATAGCTCGGCCAAGAACTTTATCAAGGTTGAACAGTAGAAAACTAGAGGAACTATGTAAAAGCCATAAAATTGAATTAAATTAAGCTTTTAGAAAATGAGTTCAAATGAATCAAAAGAACAGTATAGCCACGTAGAGGCTTTAATGCCATAGTGTATCTACTATCTGAAGCCTATCGTACAGCATGATAATGATCGCAGTGCTCTATAAACTTCGTAGTAATTAGCGAAAAGATGACTAAATAACATACCTAAGTTGCCAAAAAAAAATACAAGGAATAGGAACGATAAAACCTACAGCTTCAATCCAGTGCTGAAAAGCCAGCTTTAGAGCTTTGCTATCCTTGGATAACCCCTGACCAACCTGCAGGAAACAAAGCAATCTTAGTAATTTGCACAGTAAGTTCGGCCAAAAATTAACTAAAGTTGAATGCATATAATCTTAAAATTCTTTGAGGGAAAAATTAAGAAACATGAATGAGCTAACCTTCGAAGCAATCATGCTTACGCGGTTCCAACGCGAGACCGCAGTTTCTGGTTTCGAATAGTTGAAAAACGAAATCGTGCTGTGATTCAAGCGAGCGAAATCAAGCGCTTGCCACCTTGCCACAGATCACCGGGATTAAGCAAAAGACAAAATTCCTAAATCCTTTGAAGCAGGGTGAAATGGAGCAACCTACCAGAGCTCTTCTGCAAGTACAGCAGAGTCCGCAAGTCTCCGCCGAGTACGATAACTCCTGTAAACCTTCTGAAGCTTTGTTGCCGCTGTAAATTCCGATCTATCTCCGACCGGCACACAATCTGCTTCCCGCACTGCTTCACTTCCAATGGACGGCGCTACCACCGCTTCAGCCATCTCAGTCGTGGGAATGAGAGGCGCCATCACACTACCATTTAAGCCCTTGAGGGCACCCAAGGCGGTCGAGCCAGCACTCTCCGTCGATGGATCGCCGGAAGGATTATGAAATGCATGATGAAGCGGCAGTTCAGGATCAATCCAAGGGTCGATGGCATTCAAGTTCGCCGGACATCGTTGGGCTTCCTCCAATGCTCCGGTGACCACTGACTCGAGATCCTGCCGTTGAGAATGGCCATCGTCCGACTGTGATTGGAAGCCCAGATTCATTTGGGGAAGAATGCCGGCCATGTATTCATGGCGGTTTACCGTGTCCTCCTCCATTGACAATTTTTCCACTGCAAGAGAAGTTTCCAGAAGCGATTGGAGGGAAATAAGTGAAGAGGTTGAGAAAAGGTGGCATTTTGCCGGCTATTATTTCATTCATTTATCTACGTATCTAATGCCAACCATTAATTATTACGAACATTTAGATTTTGTTTTATATAAATTTTTTTATTTTGTAAGTGTTAATTTGCATTGTTTTATCTATCCGTTTGGGGTAGCTTGCGCGTTTCAGTATAAGCTGTTTATCATGAAATGCGGCCCACGGGCCTGCCGTAGGGGTCGACATGAGTTCGCGTTTCGTGTAAAAACTCAAACGCAGTTTCGGATAAACTTGCGAAACGCGCGAACCAAATGATACTGCGTCATTTTGAAACGCCGCCCGCACTTATAAGCTGCCCCAAACGGACCCTATTATCTATAAATTTTTTTTGACAATTTTTTTAAAAAATTAGAGCTGAAATTTATATTTTCACATGATCTATTAATGATTGTGCAATTAATTTAAATATTAGATTATTTTTCAGTAGCTTTACTATTAATTTTTAATAAGCTGCAGTTGGCGCAATTAAATCTTAAATTATTTAAAAAATATTTATTAAAAAGATTAATGGTAATTTTAAAGTGATATTGTTAATTTGGGTGGTATAAATGTAAGAAGGGGTATCATATGTAAATATATTGGACGTGGGGGTGTGCATGTAAATGCTCTTTTTGAGATATTTATCCGTACGACGGCAAAAAGATGGTGGATTTGCTTTAATGATTGTGCAAAAAAAAAAAAAGATGAATATTGAAATCTTTGGAGTACACGAATCTAAATGAAGATTCGTGGCAGAAATTCAGATATTGAATATGTACGGATCCTATTGATCTGGGTTGGCGGACAAATTGGGCCCACAGCGAGATTCGGCCAGCCGCTATCGTTGTCACATATGATCTCGAGGGGACAGTGTTTGGTTAAAAATTGTGATGAGGTTCGGTTATTACGCTTGTTTTCTTATAAAATAATTCAATGACTATCATTTATGTGGGTGTTTATAATATTAAAGTTTGTAGAGATATTAAAGTGGTTCGCAAGACTTTTTAAATTGAGATTTATTAGGATTAAAATTTTAAAATAGGCAGGGCAGGGTTGTAATTAAGTCGAGTATATCATAGTTTAGACTTGATATGATATAATTGTAAGTTGGTCATGTTAAGGCTAACTTGTGTCGAGCTTTCATATATTATTCATGCTTAGTTTATTTAAATTTTTCAATGTTTGGACTTGATTTGTATTTGATTTGTTTATGATAAGTGAACGAATATTTAAATGAGCTAATGAACGGTTAAATGGCTAAAGAAATATCTGAATGACTGTCTTTAAGGGATTATATGATGGTGGTAGATCATTCTTAGAATATACAGAAAGACATATTTAACATCTAGCTAGAATCGATAGTTGTGATGTGATCGACTAAGGTGTGGATTTTCATCAGATATTGAGACATGAGGCGATTTTTTTCATGGAGATGTTGTGTAATTCATTTTTCAATTAAATTACACGTGATCAATTAGTGGTTTGTTAGTGGCGTTCCAAGGTTGTCCGGATTTCGGTGGTGATTTGAAGATGAAGAATATGGGAAATAACAGTTGAGGAGATTGTGGAGTATAACGAGGCAGCATGGTTCTGATCAATGAGGTTCCATAGTTGGAAATGGGGATTTTTGGCTTCGACAGAGGCAATCTCAGTAAATTGAGGAGGAAATTGAGTTTTTCTAATGAGAAACCCCTCAAATTTGTTTACTGAGAAGATCTTAAGAATCTGTGCTCTCCACACATGATAAGTTTCTGGAGTGAGTAGCCCATGAGAGAATTGCTTTTAACTGAGATGCAAGAAATTTGAGGGAGGGAAGTATAATAAGGTTTGGAGTGGGTAATGTAGGAGATTGTCTCTGATACATTTGATTCATCCATCAAGAAGAAGGAATACAGAAATAGATAAGATGACTACTCACCGAAAAGGAGCCTGAGTTTTCGATACCTCTTCTCGAGAGCTTCAAGAAAGCTCTGATATCAGGATAGCAGAAGGGAAAGTAAACCGGAAAAGTATATTGACTACTATGATCATTATGCAATAAACAAAAATATAAAGGAGAAAGGCAATCCTATGTATGACTGTCTCTGACATTGGTAGTGGAGCTAGTGTGAGGACAACTACTAATGAGTGGGGTGGCTATTAATAACAACCGAAGCACGCACATGTTAATTAACTATGTACATATTTTTAGACCAATACAATATGATACAATTTCATCATAGTTGGTGTAACATTCTCCAACGTTTGACTTTGTACATTTAATTTGATTATTGGAGCTCATGCATACTTTAAATTTCATATATTTGGACAATTAAGGGAACTTGACATATTTCTTACAAAATTTGCACGTATTTAAATTATTATTTTTTTTTCATAGCACGAACAAGACTTTAAATTATCTGAATTCAACAATTTTGTACATATAGTTTCATCATTAGATCGAACATAAGACTTAAAATTTGGTTATTTTTAATAGTGGAGAATGTGACATTCAATTTCTTATTATGCAATCAAATTGACAAAATCTATATTTTATTGAATTATTAAATTTTTCAAAAGACTTGATTCTCTCTTATAAAATGAGTTAGTGTATCCCTCTAGGTGTCCTTGTGTAACTTTCAATTATTTTCTCCTTAATGCAAAGTGAAAATATTTCAAGAGCATATTAAAGAACATTTTTTGAATTTATTTGATGCCAAGTAGAATGATCTAAGTGAGAATAATATTGTCTTGCTTGTGATCATTTATGAGGCATCAAACCATTTATAAATCTCATCTAAATTCTATTTGCTTTTGATGTTCTCTAATGTCTTTCAAATAAAATTTTAAGTAAATATTAATTATGATTATTATTACTTAATTTTGAATTTTATTCATTTGCTTAGCGACGTTCATATTTATTTGATCAAATTACCATGTTTTTTGCAAGTTAAAAAACAATGAAAAATATTTGGTTGTCTCCTGACATCTCCCTTCTGTAGCAGCATCAACGAGAGAATTGGATCTGCCAACTTTACCTAAAATAACAAACATTGTTTATGTCATGTGATGTTATGATCCATGATGTAAATACACACATATTCACACAAGTGTGTGTGTCGATCAAGTAATATAAATATTAGAGTTCAAGTTATTGATCCCAATAGAAGCTATATTAACTCTTGGATTAGGTCAATTATCAACTTAATAATTTTATAATTTTATATTTTGCTAATGCTTAATCTTTTAAATTAAAATAATAATTGCAATGAAGAAGATTTGAGCTTATACAAAATTCCCTTTGAATTAGTATTTTTCCTTGAGCTTTAAGCTATCCAAAAGCTTACAAGTTTTATTGACAATTAAGGGTAAATCACTCTTTATTCTCTTCCGAGTTGTCAAGAAGTAGGGAAGTTTCATATTACAATTTAATGGCACAAGCCATGCAAAATCCCATGGATTCCACAACCCTCAAAAGATTACACTATCTTAGTAGTAATATACATATTCTACTATGATAATGTGAGTTAACCTAATCATTCCACAACTTTTTTTCCAAATTTCTAAATCATGATAAATTTTAATAATCAAATTATCAATTTGATAGTAATTAAATATATAAAAGATATAAAAGGTTAGCAAATCGATCGAATCTCAAAAATATAGGAACAACAATTAGATTCACTTAGAAACTTATTTCACATACTAATCTAAAGGAACAAAAACTTAGTGCAAGCCATTTATACAAATACCATACGAATTCTTATAATTTCATAACAAAGTACTAGAGAGAAAGGGAAAAGAACATTGAGACTATGCTTCACACAAGATCTCTTGCTCTACTAAAATTCTCCTTCCAAAGTGCTCCTTAATCTTTTTATCTCACTCCACAACACTCAACACATGCACTACACACTCCATACATAGACTCAGACCCTTTCACACTCCTTATGATAATCTATCTATGTGTTCACGTGAGTCAATTGTACTTCTACCCAAGGAATTCAAACTTGAACTTTGAACTTTAATAATTATCTATATCGGGGCTATTGCGCCGTGACTCTGTAGTTACAGTGACGCGAAGCTCAAGGTTTCTCACTGAGGCTCTAAGCTCTCCATCTTCTGATAATTTATTCTAGCATCAATGGCAAGACAACACTTTGGAAGTTGGTACTGAGGTGTTAGATGACAGCATTGAGGTTCTAAATATTTAGTGTTGAGGCTCTGTGTTCTCTATCTTTCACTCCTCCTATCTTCAATCACATTATGAAACTAGGTCATATTGCTTCGATGAGCTGAATTTAAGTGCTTATGTGTTATATAAGTGACACTGAGGCTTTGAGCTCTCGAGAAAAAAATTCTGTTGGAATGCTCAGCAAGACCCCTAGGCGCTAAGTTGGGATCTTAGGCGCTTGAATAAAATTCACTACCTCCTTCTATATTCATCTTTAGTTCTTTCCTTCTTAAAAACATATAAACTTATGTAATTTATAAAGATAAATATCGGAAGAAAGACAGGTATTTATGCAAACTTTTTATGTGTTTTTTTCGCTCGAAAAATCCCCTAAAATTAAATATTAGTTCCCCAAATATCAAAGGTAGTGACCGCTCCAGGGGAACTAAAGGTATAACAAATCATTAACATAGCAAATCGATATAGAGTTAAGCTCAATCTAAAATTTAAAAGTCATGTTACTTTTTATAGATTAATAAAAGAAAACATTCCATTAATTCTAGTAGTTTATTCAATTCAAATTGTTTTTTGAGATTGGCTAAATTTCATTCTCAATATGGTCCCATGAAATTCTATAGCTAATAACTTATATAAGCTTAATTCAAACTTTATTATTATAAATATATCACTTATAAATATTAATTGATAAATTTCTTAACTACCTCCATGAAATAAAGAAGATAAGAGTGCTGTTCTTTTATTGAACTTAAACTCAAGCACCTCATTTGCTCTTATAATAATTTCTCACTTAATACTATTTTAAGAGGCTTTCACCATATTTCTTAT